TCAACTGTAACACACACACACCGTCACCACCTGTAACACACACACCATCACCACCTGTAACACACACACACACCGTCACCACCTGTAACACACACACACACACACCACCGTCACCACCTGTAACACACACACAATCACCACCTGTAACACACACACCGTCACCACCTCTAACACACACACACTGTCCCTCACCTGTAACACACCACAAAACCCCTCAACACATGTAAAACACACACACCGTCATCAACTGTAACACACACACACCGTCACCACCTGTAACACACACACACCATCACCACCTGTAACACACACACACACCGTCACCGCCTGTAAAAACACACACACCATCACCACCTGTAACACACACACACACACCGTCAACACCTGTAACACACACACACCGTCATCACCTGTGACACACACACACACCGTCACCACCTGTAACACACACACACCGTCACCACCTGTAACACACACACACCGTCATCACCTGTAACACTCACACACCTCCCACCACCGTAACACACACACACCGTCACCACCTGTAACACACACCACAGGTCATCACCTGTGACACACCACACCCCCGCACCACCTGTAACACACACACACCGTCACCCCCCTGTAACACACACACCGTCCACCACCTGTAACACACACACACCGTCATCACCTGTAACACACACACACACCGTCATCACCTGTAACACACACACACCGTCATCACCTGTAACACACACACAACCGTCACCACCTGTAACACACACCACACCGTCACCACCTGTAACACACACACACCGTCACCACCTGTAACACACACCGTCATCACCTATAACACACTCACACCCCTCACCACCTGTAACACACACACACACACACCGTCATCACCTGTAACACACACACACCGTCACCACCCCGTAACAACCCCACACAATCACCACCTGTAACACACACACCGTCACCACCTCTAACACACACAAAACTGTCATCACCTGTAAACACACACAACCGTCACCACCTGTAACACACACACACCGTCATCAATGTAACACACACACACCGTCCCACCTGTAACACACACACCATCACCACCTGTAACACACACACACACCGTTCACCGCCTGTAACACACACACACCATCACCACCTGTACACACACACACACCGTCACCACCTTAACACACACACACACACCGTCACCACCTGTAACACACACACACACACACCGTCACCACCTGTAACACACCCCACCCCGTCACTACCTGTAACACACACACCATCACCACCTGTAACACACACACCGTCACCACCTTAAAAACACACACCGTCACCACCTGTAACACACACACCCCGTCACTACCTGTAACACACACCATCACCACCTGTAACACACACCACCGACATCACCTGTAACACACACCGTCACCACCTATAACACCACACCCCGTCACTACCTGTAACACACACCACACCCCGTCACTACCTGTAACACACAAAATACCATCACCACCTGTAACACACACACACCATCACCACCTGTAACACACACACCGTCATCACCTTAACACACACACACACACCGTCATCACCTGTAACACACACACACCGTCACCTGTAACACACACACCGTCATCACCTGTAACACACACACCCCGTCACTATCTGTAACACACACACACACCGTCATCACCTGTAACACACACACACCGTCCCCCACCTGTAACACACACACACACCGTCATCACCTGTAACACCACACACACCGTCACCACCTGTAACACACACACACACCGTCATCACCTGTAACACACACACACCGTCACCACCTGCAACACACACACACACCGTCATCACCTGTAACCCACACACCCCGTCACTACCTGTAACACACACACACACCCCGTCACTACCTGTAACACACACACACCCCTCACCACCTTAAACACACACACACACCGACATCACCTGTAACACACACACACCGTCATCATCTGTAAACACACACACACCGTTACCACCTGTAACCCCACACACACCATCATCACCTGTAACACACACACACCGTCACCACCTGTAACACACCACACACCGTCACCACCTGTAACACACACACACCGTCACCACCTGTAACGCACACACACCGTCATCATCTGTAATACACATACACCGTCACCACCTGTAACACACAAACAGTCCCCCACCTGTAACACACACACACCGTCACCACCTGTAACACACACACACCGTCATCACCTGTAACACACATACACCGTCACCATCAGTAACACACACACACACCGCATCACCTGTAACACACAAAACACCGTCCCCCACCTGTAACACACACACACACCGTCATCACCTGTAATACACATACACCGTCACCACCTGTAACACACACACCGTCACCACCTGTAACACACACACACCGTCACCACCTGTAACACACACACACCGTCACTACCTGTAACACAAACACCGTCATCACCTGTAACACACATACTCCGTCACCACCTGTAACACACACACGCCGTCACCACCTGTAGCACACACACACCGTCACCACCTGTAACATACATACACCGTCACCACCTGTAACACACCACACACCGTCCCCCACCTGTAAAAACACACATACACCGTCCCCCACCTGTAACACACGCACACCGTCACCACCTGTAAAACACACACACCGTCACCACCTGTAACATACGTACACCGTCACCACTTGTAACACACACACACCGTCACCATCTGTAACACACACACACCGTCACCACTTAACACACACCGTCACACTTGTAACACACACACACCGTCACCACCTGTAACACACATACACCGTCACCACTTGTAACACACGCACACCGTCACCACCTGTAACATACATACACCGTCACCACTTGTAACACACACATACCGTCACCACCTGTAACATACACGTCACCCTTTTAACACACCCCACACCGTCACCATCGTAACCACACCCTCACCCCTGTAACAACGACACCGTCACCCCTGTAAAAACACCGTCACCCCTGTAACACACACCGTCACCACCTCAACCATTTAAAAAACCGTCACCACCTGTAACACACACACCCTCACCACGTAACTTACACAAACCATCATCGCATGTAAAACTTTTTACATGTAAACAATCATCTCATGTAAAATTTATATATGTAAAAAAAACTATCACATGTAACACGCTTTTCCATGTAACACTTACCTTATGTAACACTCATCTCATTAACCCCCTCATCCATGTAACACTAGCTCATGTAAACCTTCACACGTAACACCATCCATGAACACTCACTATGTAACACTCATCTCATGTAACCCTCATCACATTTTCCCATTCTCATAGTAATATCATCACATGAAACAGTCACACATTAAAACTCATCTCATGTAAACTCCCTCTCATGTAACAATCATCTCATGTAACACCTCTCATGTAACCTCATTAAATTCCTCACTCATGTACCCATCCCGTAACACTCACACAGTACCCATCTCTGTAACACCATTCATGTAACATCAACCCTGTAACACTCCTCATGTAAAAATATCCCAAAAGAACCTTCTCTGAACACCCTCTCTGTAACCTTCTCATGTAAACTCATCCAAACCTCATTCATGTAAACACCATCCATGTAACACCATCTCATGTCACTCATCCTTAACACTCACTCATGAAAAACTCATCTCATGTAACACTCATCACATGTAACACTCATCTCATGTAACACTCATCTCATGTAACACTCATCTCATGTAACACTCATCACATGTAACACTCATCTCATGTAACACTCATCTCATGTAACACTCATCTCATGTAACACTCATCTCATGTAACACTCATCACATGTAACACTCGTCTCATTTAAACACTCTCCAGAACATCATCTCATGTAACACTCTCTCAGTAACACCCATCACTTTTTCCCCCCTTCACAGTACCACCATTCAGTAACACCATCATGTGTAACATCATCTCATGAACATCATCATGTTAACCTCATTCATTACACCTCAGTGTAACACTCACTCTGTAACACTCTCTCTTAACACTTCTCATTAAACTCATCCATGTAAATCATCACTGTAACACTTATCTCATGAAAAACCCCTCCCATTAAACTCATCACATGTAACCCACTCATCATATGAACCATCACAGAAACACTCATCACATGTAAAACACTCATACATGTAACCTCTCACCGCAATACTCATAACACACCCTCACAGCAAACCCTCCTTAAACAATCATTTCAGCAATATTATCACATGTAATCACTTTTCCCGGGAACATTCATCACATGTAAACTTCACGAAAACCTTCATAGCAATACCCCTCACTGCAAACCCCCACATGTAATACTCATCACATGTAACACATCACATCAATATATACATGTAACACATCACATCAATACCATCACATTAACACATTACATTAAAACATCACATGCAAACTCTCACTGTAAAAACATCGCATGCAATACTATCACATGTAACAATTACTTTAACACATCACATGCAAAACCCAAACGCTTGACCATCTATTCCCAAAAAAATCCTAAAAAAATGTCTTAAAAAAATTAAAAATCTTCGTTATAACTGAGACGTAGAAGCTCGGAAGAGTATATGATAGAATAAGATTATTGGAACCTTGCATAGATGACTTGAACAAAGTTAGTATGTTATGTTACATTATTTTGTATGAAGTTTGGCTTGGTGTTCATCTCACAGTACTTCAAATATCCTCAGATTCTTAAGTTTGTAGAAGTCTGCCTTGTTTAAGGTAGGTTTGTGTCACTGCTGTGTTAGTTATGTAGTTACGTGTAGGTATTAAATAGTTCTGTTATCTCAGAGTTCAATAAAAGTTAAATGTCAAACTAAGACAAAATATGGTATTACTGAGTGGTTAACAATGAGAGCAAATCTGAGTAATAGTTAACAGTGAACACTGCGACCACCAGCACCTTGTTGGGTGTTTCCTGAGGCTGTGTATCGCCGCACCCGATCACCAGGTCGAACTGCATCATGTACGAGGGTCCCACACCGATGGACTTGGTCTCCATGAAGCGGGAGGCTCCGGTAGCGATGATATCTCCAAAGATGAGAGCTGAGTCGTGGCCACAAGCGTCCTCGCCCACCTCACCAAGGTGGAACCTGCAACAACACGTCACTTTTAACGTAATTTTATGATTAAACAAGTCGATACAGCCATACACAACATGCCGAGAAGTGGTACGTAGCCTATTAAACAACTTAACAACACAAAGTGTAATAAACACTGGACAGTGGCACAAACTCACATGGACACACTAAAAAGAAGATAATAGTGGATTAGTTTTTGAAAAAAACATCCTAACCCTTAAAAAAATTATAATAGAAGTTTTTTTATTTTTTTTTGACTGTTGGGTGCTGTAAAAGACAGAAAAAATTAATTTTACAAAATCTGACAACTGAAAATGTTTTAATTAAGCTAAGTCAGTTCAAGGATGGTGGCCGTTGACCTTGAAAATCAGATGGCGGCTGTAACTTGTTATCAGGTGTACAACAATACTGTACTTTATATCTAGACTAGACTTTTAAGGAATCCATTGTTGCCAAACGTTTTATTCTTTAATTGAATCCGTAGATGCAAGATGGCGGCCAAGATGGCGGCAAAGATGGCGGCCAAGATGGCGGCCAAGATGGCGGCAAAGATGGCGGCCAAGATGGAGGCCAGCACTCCCAAAAGATTTCATATAAGACTTCATATTTTTATTCTTCATTAAACAGTAGTTATTTTGACAGTCTTTCAGTGTTATTGTCTTGGATATGAAGGTTGCTATATTTTTCATGATTGGAAGATGATTGGTGTGGTTTGACAAGGTTTGTCAGGAAACAGGACAAGTGCTACCCGAAGCGGGTCTTAGTCATGACCCACCGCTGGAGCTTTTTGTGGAAAATACTGTATATATTTTCCAGAAATTCAGTATTTATATGTAAATAGATGGCCATACTGTATTAATAATATTTATGTCATAGAAAACGGAAAGCCTGCATCTGCGAGGAAGACAGTCGCCATTATTGTTTGAATTGAACAGACATTTGTTAATAATGGGAAGAATTTTTTGTGCTCTTGAGGTTAAAATTGGGCTGACACCTCTCAAATAGGAGGCGAAATTGTTGGATGTGCATTCCTGCATAACTTGAGATATCAGGCAACTGGACAAGACAACTCCAGGAACCTCAGATGAGCTATTTAGATTTATGTTATAATTCTGGCCAGTATTTTCATAAATTTAGTTAGTGAGGTTTTCTGAGTATGATAAAACTTGGTCTCCAGTCAAATTGGTGAGTGTTATGATTAAGATATATTCTCCTTCTGTTATGTATATGTGTATATATATAATTTATTATTTTTAATATACAGTCCACAAATTTATATATTTACCAGCATTACTGGTGTATGTATATTTCATTTATAATTAATAGGTCCAGAGCAACTTGTGGATATGACAGTTATGTATATAATGATACATTCAGATAAATGCAATTTTCCACATTTAATTTGCCCGTTGGTCCTTCTTGAACCGGAGGTAATTAGTACAGTCATTAATTAGTTAAATACTTAATAATTATATGTAAAATGACAGGAGGAGGTGGATGTTAAGTTCACAAATTTACTTAATGTGTAGTGGATTATAATTATTACAATATTAATTTGGATAAGTCAAGTGTGGCTAAAGATTATATTAATGTGTATACGTGTATGTGTAATTGATAAGCCAAGTGTAGCTAATTATATTAATGAGTATAATATTAATTTTGCAAAGCCAAAGTGGCTAGGATTTATATTAATGTATTTGTACAATATTAATTTGATAGACAATTCTGGCCAAGATTTATATCAGTGTATGTGTAATTGATAAGCCAAGTGTAACTAATTATATTGTGTATAATATTAATATTGCTATGCCAAATTCTGGCAAGGATTTATTAATTTGTATAATAATTTTGATAAGCCAAGGCTGGCTAAAGGTTTGTATTAATGTACATTTGAAGTTTATATTATTTTCTTACATGTAATTGCTAAGCTCAAGTAGCTAGGATTTATTCAAAGGTAAGTTGTACTATTTACCTTCATAAAGTGCATAATTTAGTACATAATCAGTGTTATTAAGTTGAATTTAATACATTGTATCATGGCTGAAAATGAGAAAATTAATGTAGAAGACAAACATACGGAATATAGAGAAAAGAAAGCATCACTACAGGCTAGAAAAGTTCATGTAACCAAGGCATATAAGTGCTTGGAATTAATGAATCAAGAAACTGTGAATACTGATGATTTAAAATTGTATTTAGATGCTCTAGGGAATAGATATGATTCATACAAATTATATTACAACAAATATGAAGGAGATTTATTAGTAAACTGTGTAGATGAGACTGAAGTAGATCTTATGATTAATCAGTATTGTGAATTAGAGGAAAAGATTCTTTCTTGTAAAAGTCAGGCCTTGAATAAATTAAAATGTGTAAACCAGGCAGTTAATCAGTCTGCTCCAACAAATAATATGTCTTTGCCAAAACTCCCAGAATTATGTTTACTTGTATTTAATCCTGGAGAAAATTGGGGGGAATTTTGGTCAATTTTTAAAGCAGCTGTGCATGACAGGAGTGACCTAGCCTGTGTAACTAAATTATTTTACCTCAAAGGACAGGTAAGAGGAAATGCTCACATACTCATACAAGCCTTTCCCAATGTAGATGACTCTTACAAGGAAGCAGTTGACTTGTTGAAGGTCACTTATGGTAATATAGAACAAAGTAGGTTGGATCTAGTGAATATCATTGTTAATTTAAAATCTCCAGATCACACTTACAAAGGTTTACAGCAGTTTAGAGTTAAACTGGAGAGCACTCTCAAAACTTTAAGTAATAAATATAATCTGAAGGAATCAGACTGGTTATTGAGTGCCATAGTACAGAATAAATTAAGCTGTAAAACACTTGAATGACTCTCGAACAAGTATCACAAGAGTTATTTTAATCTGAAGGAAATATGACTAGGTCTACAAGAATTAATTGTTCAGTTGCAGACCAGCCAACTAACTCATTTTAAAGATGCAACACATAATAACTCTGAGGTATCTGTCAAGTTTCACAAAGAGAAAAATTATCCCAATGGTAATAATCAAAATTCATTTCCTAAAAATAGTTGCATAGGTGCATATCAAGTAGCAAGAATCAGAAATAATGATTCTGCACAAGGTAAGAAGAATAAGTACCCTCCTGAGAGTAACCCAGTTAATAAGAAACCAGTCAAAGAAAAGAGAGATTGTCTTTTCTGCAAGGGTGCTCATTTTTCTAAGAATTGCAATGCATACAATTCATGGAATGATAAAGTTGAAAGATTGGAGGAACTTGACAGATGCATCAGGTGTTTAGGTAATCACCATGTAAAGGATTGTCATGCCAAATTAAACAACTGTTATCAATGTCACAAAGGAAGACACCATATAGTCGTGTGTAAAGGTCTATATGATAATGTTGATAATAATGATAATGTTGACAATCCTGACACAACAGTAGCTAATGTAAAAATTGCTGCTAATGTTAATAATGATGGTTTTGCTGAAGTAGCCTTACCTGTGTTACAGGTAAAAATTGATGATAAAAGGCATAAATCAAAAAATGTAACTGCATTATTGGACCAGGGATCCCAACGTACTGTCATAAAACGTAAATGTCTTGATGGTATGAAAGTACAGATGGGAGATCCCACAACTTTAAAATTATCTGGTTTTCTCTCGGATAAAAGGGCTCAATTGTATGACACTGTTTATGTAGCTGTCAGGTTGGGCAATGAGAAAAAACGTGTTAATGCAGTAATTGTAGATAGACTTCCGGAGAAAATATCTACAGTAGGGCTTAGTAAAGCTACAGAAAGACTCTCACATAATGTAAATTTAGCACCTTCTGGTGTAAGTGATGATTCTGTAGGCCCAATAAATATTTTGATAGGTAGTGACTATTATGCCTCCTTTGTAAAGGGTATGGTAAAGAAATGTGGTGTCACCCTTTTGAAGACTGCAGGAGGCCATGTAATGTATGGTAGGATTCCTCGTAATAATAATTCATGACTAGAGGAAACTACAAATACCATAACTGTGTCTTACTCATTAAGTTGTACCCCAGTATAATTCTTCCATAGAGGATGGTGTTGAGCCAGTGCATAAATTGTGGGAATTAGACAGCATTGGAATAAATGTAAATGAAGAAAGTCCAGACGATTCTTTTACTCAGAAGCAGTACATGAAAGGTGTAAAATTTGAATCTGGACAATACTGGGTACGACTTCCGTGGAGACTGAACTATCCAGAATTGCCCACTAATTACAGAATGGCATATGGACAGTTAAAGGCTCAGCTCCGCGAACTGAGTAAGACACCAGAATTGTTAACTGCCTATAATGATATAATTGCTGAGCAGTTAATTAATAAATTTATAGAAGAGGTACCTCCTGAGCAAGCCAAAATTTATGGTCACTATTTGCCACATCACGGAGTGACGAAGGATTCTAAGACCACTCCTCTGAGAATTGTGTTTAATTGTAGTGCCAGGAGTAACAAAACTGTACCTAGTTTAAATGACTGATGACAGGTCCGTCGTTGACGGAAAAATTAGGAGATATCTTATTAAATTTCAGAGTGAAGCACTATGCCTTTACGGCTGACATAAGTAAAGCTTTCCTAAGAGTGGGTTTACAAGAGGTTGACCGGGATTGTACCCGCTTCTTATGGCCTGAGAATTCTAGTGACCCACTTAGCCCTCTGAAAACCTTTCGCTTTAGGAGCGTATTATTTGGTGCTACATCCAGTCCGTTCCTACTTCAAGCGACGATAAATGCACACCTTAAACGTATGGGAAGTCCATTGGGTAAAGTAATGAGCAAACAATTTTATGTGGACAATTTCCTGGGTGTGACGTCAACTGAAGAGGAACTGTTAATGACTTACGGAGAGGCTAATAAAATAATGCAAAGTGCAAATATGCCTCTGAGGGAATGGAATAGTAATTCGTCCAAATTAAAGGACAAAATAAGTAAAGATTACCCTGGAGATGAAGTGCCAAAATGTAGTAATGTATTGGGTTTAACTTGGGATACTGAGAGA